AATTTGAGAAAGCATCAAAAGGTTACTTTCACTTTTTTTGAAAACGAAAAACCGGCTGCCAAATCCTTTTGCTACAGTGTTAGGGAACTTAACCCTTTAGAGACTCGGGTTCGAGTCCTTGGAGTACTCCTTTCTTTTTCCCTCTTTGTTCCTTCTCCTTATCTCTCCCCAAACCATTGATGGTTCTCTCTCTCTCTCTCTCTCTGGTAATCTGCTTTGTTTTTTCCTTCATTGCTAATCAATTTGAATCTTTGAAGAAGACTCAGTTTTGCATGGCTTTGTGACTTGTCACAATCAGTCACAGGAATAGCAGGAGGAGCAAATATCTTTGTCCATGCATGGTAGATATCCAAAGTTATTGGCTTTCTTTGGACTGTTGATCAATGTGAATATTATAGATCCATAAGCTATTGGAAAAGTTGAAGTGTAGTTTACAAAATTAAAAGTGCAATTAAACCAAGGGTTCAACTTTAATTACCTGTGCGGCAAGTTAATGTAGTTATTAATTCGAAACAGGCAAATAAGAAATATTGAACCATGGCATGAAATATGAATGGTTTGAACTTTGATGCGTCAAACTACTTGGATCTAAATGCAAATTGACGCACACCTGAATTGGCCCTCGGGCCCAAGTGGTCGCACTGGATTGATCGTACATTCAAGAGCAATACTACATACCTGAAAAGGTATCTCGAAAAGAGAAATCAGTGATTCAGATCCACCTGAATTTGAATATGAACTATTGATTTTTCTTTTCGAGGTACTCAAAATTATCCAATCTACTTGTGTTTGAGCACTAGCTTGCTCGCTTGTTAAAACGTCATTTAAGATCGGTTTATACAAAAACAAACAAAGCATTAACATTTTTAATGCTCGTTAAGCTTTCAAACGAAGCTCAAGCAAACTACGTACTCCTCGACTTGTCTTTCTTTGGCTTGTGTATAAAAATCCAAACTACTCGAGCGGTTAAAGAAAGAGTCCCACGACTGAGCACTTCTTGAAAAACTCAACTTTAAGGATCTTCGCATATTCACTGTTGAAAAAGTTCTTGTTTTTTGCCCCTAGAAGTTTCCATACTCGGATGTAATCAGAAGTAGGGGTATTAGTTAGAAACTTAGATCTAAGTTGGTTTTGGTATTTTGGGTAATGAGTGGAGAGAGATAGATAGAGAAATGAGATTAATAATTGAGAGAAAATTTATTCGAGATTGCAGACCGTGCGCAGAGAGAGAATCCCAAATCCAAAATCCCAAAACGAACTGGTTTACTCTTGAGGGGATTCCACACCAGTTGCTTGTCTGTATGTATATGTAAGAATCTTGCTAAATAAAAATGCACCACTATTTTGCTTGAAACTCCTACAGGCCCGTTTGGTGATAGGATGCTTTTAGTTTTTAGTTGGTTTTACTGACATTCGCAAAATGACTACATTAAGCAGGAGATGAGCTGGGGGAGATGCTTTTTGCATTAAGCAGTATAGGCTGAGTACCAACTAAAAAGTTTTGCATTAAGCAGTATAGGCTGAGTACCAACTAAAAAGTGAAACCAACATTGCCAAGAGACAACGTTGCAACATGATCACCACACAATTCATTCAGAAAATGGCAAATCAAGATTTTTATGCCCTCTTACACTACTATGGCTTACTTGAGTTATTGACACGCGGCAATAGGGTTGAAGGATTTTGGTTCTCGACGGGGCTTTCTTGTATATCTTTGAGCCGTTGTCCCTTCTCTTCCACGTCGTGGGTGACAGGATTCCTAGTAGTACTGAAAGAATTATTCAGATCAAACCCCATTAAGTTATGCGGTCTACTCTTATCCATCGGTCCAATCATCGCAATCAAAAATATCCCTCCAACAAAACACTTCGGCATGAGTTTCTTGATGATAAATTTCTCAGCCTAAGTCTTTGCCCCAGACTAGTGAATGCAACAGGAAACCTCTCTTCTTTGCTTCCTTTCCAAATTGGCAGCATTTCCACCACAACCTTCTGCAATAGTTTCCCCTCAAAACCCTCTCTGAGCATCTCTTCAAAATCTCCAATATTGCCCCTTATATCCAGCAAAACACTGCACAACCCGCGTTGTTTGCAGTATTCCAGAATTGTTAGCAAATTCATTCCATCCAAAACAACAGTTTCAATACCCTTTTGAGAAGTTTCTGGTTCCACAGTTGTCACTTTGTCCGTGAAGATCACCACCTTAGAACTCGCTTCTGTAGTCATTACAGGGACTTGAATTGGGGAGCTAGGGTTTCTTGCTAATATTATCTGAAGAGGTTGATTAGCTCCAGGTTCTTCGGATACTGGGAGTGAAAAATTCTCTCTTAATAAGGTGGAGGAACGTATCACTGCATCATATTCTTGTAACAACTGCGAGTAGTATCCACCGGGCTTTGTGACTTCTTCTCCAAGCTGGTCTGAGAAGTGGCCATCAATGGAGAGGGAGTATCTACAAATCACAGAGAAAACATCAAAATGATTCCCTTCTTCATGTTTAATGAATGCCATCCAATTAATTAACACCAAACCATAGAAGTTTCTTAGCATTCTTGGGAAGTGAACCACATCATCTATACGACGACGGTTTAACCTGATATTCTCCACGTCACAATCTGCTCTAAAAATCTGCTTTTTGGTTTTCTCATATTATCTCAACTCCTTCAGTTTTTTATTAACTGCCCTCCTCATCTCCTCCCAAAACTTCAATTTTTAGTAGTGAACAACTAAGGTTGCAAGTTGTGTGATATTCATCATAGCATGCGCATAAGCTCTAGGGATTATAAAAGACAACTGGACTACATGAAAACACCATCACAAACGAGGAATTTCGCTACCTTAGAACAGTTAGAGTTACTGCTGCCATTCACCAGACGCTTCCATTCATAATAGCTTAACACTTCTCCTTACGACCCTCCAGCACCAGGCAGGTGTCAGACTCTATACATTGTGTTACCACCTATGTAGCACGGATACGGGACACGACAATTCTTAACAAATGGGGATACGGACACGGCGGGGGACACGCCACGTGTATAAATCAATAAAAAATAAATATATATAATTTTTTTTTATGAACCATTGTATATGAATAATTTCACAAATTATATAATTTTCTTTCAAAGGCATAATTACAATTTAACCCAAGTGTTTTGAATAATTTCATATTAACCCCCAAAAATTTAAAATATTACATTTTGACCCCAATTGTGTCCCTGGCATGTCCCCTATCAAAAAATAATAAAAATTATTGGATACGTGTCCCTGCCGTGTCCCCGTGTCCAATACGTGGACACGGCGCCCTTTTGAAGTGTCGGTGCTTCATAGGTTACCACTTAGCAGAGTCCTGTGTTTTTAATAAACAGTCGCTACCCCCTGGTATGTGCCGCTTTCCCAATCAAAAGATAGGAGAGCATCCCTTCTCCCAAAGTTACGGGGTCATTTTGCCGAGTTCCTTCAACATGGGAAATATTATCTTGTAATAACTAGGAAGATGAAGTGCACCTTAGAGTAACAAAGGGCTTCCCCGTTAGCATTAGATGTGTAAAGGTCTCAATCAGTTTCTTGCACAATTCTTCCTCGACACCCACTGTCACATCGATTCCTGCATCACGAAGTCTGTCCACACCCTTTGAAGCCACCATTGGGTTTGGATCCACCATCCCCACCACCACCTTTTTGACTTTGGCTTTAATTAGTGCTTCAGTACAGGGTGGAGTTCTTCCATAGTGGTTGCATGGTTCCAAGCTCACATAAGCTGTTGAATTCTCAGCCAAATCCCCAGCATCTCTCAGAGCAAAAACCTGCAAATTCCAGCTCCTACCTCAAATCATTCTGAAGATTGCAACCATGAAGAACAACAGTTCCAACTTCCAACGCAACACCCCAACTGAAAATGAAAGAAAAGTATCATTCCTACTACCAGTTATCCTACATACCTTACACGAAATAGAACCAACAGTTGATGAGAAAATTATAAGGGCTCATTCACTTTGCCACCATTTTCTTTTCCTTGTTTCCACCAACACACACACGTAAAATTGCTAAACAACCACAGCACCCAAAGGCTGTGTTTGGATTCTTGTAGTACAACATGTTTCCCTTCTTTTTAGCCCTTCAACCAAAACCCACAAATTCAATGCTCACATGCCATATGAACATAACAAGTAATTTTAGGATTCATAAGCTAATAATACTTTTGGACTATGTTAGAGACTTAGAGTTGACACAATGCTAGCTATCACCTGAAAAACCTTCTCTCGAAACCATTAGCGAGAAATATATCGATATTTCGAAAATGTTTCCCATATCATGAAAAAACCGCTCTTCCTCGTATGGCCTCATGATTCTATTCTATATAATCAGAAATACTGGAAAAGATAGAGCAGGAGTATTACCTCAGCATGGGGCTGCCCAGCTTTGGGGTGAAACCCTTCACCAACAATTTTCCCATCCTTGACAACAACACACCCCACCATTGGATTAGGACTGGTACACCCAATACCCTTCCTAGCAATCTCCACACACCTCCTCATGTAAAACCCATCATCTTTTCCTTGACACCTGATGCCAACAGAACCACCATGTCTTCTCCCACTGGTCACGGATTTGCACACCCTTTTGGTCGAAATCGATAACCCAGATCTCGAAATTGGAAACGGAACAAGTTTGGAGTTTGATGGGCCCAGGCTGAATCTTGAGACTGAGGGTATTTGGAGATACATTTTCTTGGAGACCCAATTAGAATTACCGAGTGATTATTGAACGAATGAGTAAGGAATGAATAAAAAAAACAGGTTTTTCAGTGAAAATCATACTAGGAGAATGTGTTTGTCACAAAAAAAAAAATACTCCGTAGTACTAGGAGGATGTGAAGGTTGAAGACGACCACTGTAAAAATCCCCCAGTCTATTGATTGATGAAGCGAAGACCCAAAATAGTGGATACGGCCACGACGCCGTTCCAGGCAAGCTAACCTTTTCTTGGGAAAAAAGTTGCTTGTGTCTGAGCCCGGGTTCAAAGCGGGGACCTCTTGTGTGTTAGACTAGTTTAGCATGATGACCGACTACACCACCCAGATGATCAAAGACTCTCGAAGACTACTGTTGACGTCGTTTTTGTTTTGTTTCAGTTTTGGGAATTTTTTTTTGATGTAACGAGCGAAGAGAAATAAATAGAAAAACTTACTGAGGATCGTGCGGAAACTAAAAAAAATTTCTGAAAACTTGTAAAGTGAACAAAATTGTTGACAATTAATTACTTATAGGTTCTCATGTTATTTTTTATTTTCTTTAACATGTTGAAACTAATAATTGATAATTTGATATATACTAAATAAACCCCACGAGCTGAACCAAGGGGTCCGAATTCCATAGGGAAAGCATTGGAAATGACTGAGCTATGTAACTGTGCGTAAAAAAAGGGGAGAGAGCAATGCTAGGTAGCCAGAAAAGTTAACCCGCAAATAGAAAATAAAGGCAAGTGGAGTGCAGTGCAGTGCAGTTGGTGCCTCCCTTATACTCTCATGCACATGGGCACGGTTCGATTCCCGTAAGTACCCATCTCTCTCCCCAAGTCCCTGAGGATATAATAGAGTAGGATTAATGAATCACAAAAAAAAAAAAAAAATGGCAAACAAAGGATGTCTTGATATTTTGCTTGGGAATGGCAAACAAACGATGTCTTGATATTTTGCCTACAAAGTTTGTCAGACTCATCAGTAACAACTGTTAACAATTGACTTAGTTTTGTCTTCCAGAACTCACTGTTTTCTTGCTTGAAACCACTGGTTTTTGGATTCCTTTTTATCCCCTCTATCACATCTCTAACATCAGTGCATATATCTGCTACCTTGGATGTGTGTAAAATTTGTAATGTGTTTGAGTCTTGTATTGGTTTCCTAGTTCATTGAGATACGAGTAAAATAGAACTGATAAACGAGCCGAGAGTATTGTTTGAATTGGTTGGAAAAACTAAATGAGCTTTAAAAATATGTTTAAATTTCATTGATTTACCAAGTAAGTGGATCTTAATTGAACTTTCATCGAGCTGATTACGAATCAGGTCTCCCTTTTCCCACATTCTTGAATTCTCATTACTAGTAATATTCCTTTTACTAGCTTTTAAAAAGGAAAGTTGAAACCTCACTTTATGCTGAACTTTATCCTAGGAAAACCATCAGGGAATCTTAACAGCACAAAAAACTGCATGAAGGGCAGGCTGGCCTACAGGGTAGGACGGCCGATTCGATCATTCGTTTTTGTAATGAACGGCTTGGATTAATAGAAGTTCAAATTTAATTCGGTCAAAATGGACGGTCGAATTATCCGCCTTACTACTTCTGTAGTGCGACCTGCACTGCAAGATTTCCAAATTCCAAAAGGACTATAGTAGAGCTGATGGTTTATTTAGACCATTTAAGCAAGTTGACCAATCTCCACTCCACTGCAAGCAGATGCACCTACATCTCTATATCCTCCATAGATTTCAGGTTATGATCACAATCATTAGTATCTCTTAAACATTATAGCAACTAGATTTGCATTGCCCCTCAAATCATTACAACCGATCATTAATCATTATACCTCCTCAGTCCAAAAAATTTTAATTCACTGCGGAACGTGTAATTTTAGTATAAAAAATAAAGTGCTTCCGCTCAGAATTTTATAAAATTTCTTTATACCAAATTTAGAATTTACTGAGTTCTTTAATTTGGTGTCAAGAATTTTTTTTAAAATTGCACGGAAGTATGTTACTTTTAATTCAAAAATTTCACGTCTTTTGTTAGTGGACCAACTTTTTCAACGGATAGAGTAGTATTTTGCGGAAGAAAATGCACATAGTTGAGATTATACACAAGGTAACCAAAGGTTCAACATACTAAGGAACACAATCTCACATTATTTAGATATGGAATAGATGATCACTTAATACTCCCTCTGTCTCATTTTGTATGTCCATTTTCGTTGTTTTTGCCGTTATTTAAACGCTTATATTTCTCAATCTATAATATTTTTGAAAACTTTGAATTATAGAACTAATTGAAAACTATCAAACAAAATCCATATTGCATTTTTTTTTTTGAGATTTATATTGAAAGATATAAGCGATTGAAAACTAGCACTAACATTAAAAAAGGACAAAACAAAATGAGACGAAGGGAGTATAATATTAGAACCTCTCCTAATAGCTTAAGCTTTTGAGTTATATATAAAGTTTCTATATGATATCATAATAGAGCCCTTCTCATCCCACATTTTTTGAAATTTACTATCAGCACCAACTTTTTTGAAATTTACAATCAACACCAACGATAACAAATCCAACAAAAGGTCGTACACTAATAAACTCAAAAAAAGACCACACGTAATAGATGCGGATGCACGTGGGGAGATGTTAGCGAACACAATTCCAAATAAGTTAGAATCTCTCCACCTAGTATCTTAAGTTTTTGGGTTCGATATGAAGTTTTCGCAGAGACTAGCGGGATACCTTAAGAGTTAAGACTGCCTACCTATTACCTCTCTCAGGCCGTGCTGCAAGTGGGAGCCTCATAAAATGCGTACCAAAGCTAATCAATCTGTTTTGCCAGGACTCTACGTGCTAATCTTTTGGTCGTACTGGATTTTCCTGGGAACAACTGTTTATACCCATCCAAGGGGGGAAAGAGAATGCTTTGAGATGTCCATAGCTATTACAAACTCTATGTTTGCAATACTTTGATGGTAGGCAATGTATATAAACCTTCAACTTTTTGGCTGAGTAGGAATGGAAGTTTTTAAATGTAGTACTTCGGTTAGTTGGATAGCGTCATATACATTGTTCAGCCCATTTCCTAACCGCTTAAGTTTTGAGACACTTGGTAACTTAATACCGTTGGCATCGCCGAGCAAAAAAACTTAATACCATTAGCGTCATGGCGTTTCAAAGACAAGCTACTACGTACTGAGTAAAGGTGGTGTTGACAAGCCTTCATTCAAAACTATGGTAAACCAGGATCCCTGTGGTTCATTCAGAACTACTCCTATTGGGTTTGTGTCATCTTGCAGTAGTCTTTCAACACCTAAATCTTCATAGGAGAAAACAAGGAAGAAAAGCCCAGAAAGATTGTCAGATGCTTGACACAAATTCCATCCAATATGCTTAACATGGACTCTACTAAAAACTGGAAGAAAAAGATTGGGGACAGGAGATACAAAATACATACCCAAATGGACATTACAAAAGAGAATATCTGGAACAAAAGAAAGGCCCCAAACAGACCGGGAAAAGTTTTCAGTCATGATAGATATATACATACCCAAAAGGAATGTCTAAGCAAGTGATTGGGAAGGGTTTCAGGGGCAGAAAAACACCAACCGCCATAGAATTTGTCTGTGGCTGAGGCGTGCTTCATAACGGGATGAAGTTGTCAGACACAAACTTGCATATCAGATGGCTCAGCAGATGCAGTGTCTTACGCTGAATTTCTTGGCATCACTTCCAAACACAGGGGGTCTAACCATGGAATGAATGCATCGTTCTGAACCAAATTCTGAAAAGATATACACCAACAAAGAGAGCATCAGAAAATGCTAGTGTAGCGTGAGATTTCTGTTATAAACTTATAACGGTAATGGTTCTTATGCAAATAGTAAGACATGAGAAATCCATAGTAACCACATCTAAAATTTGTCAGGAAAGAAACATCTGAGAGCATATAGATTCCTTTAGAGTGAGTGGCCTGGACAGACTACTAGTGGGGGATTACAGTACCTGACGCAGGTCGGAAGCGAGTTCTTTAATTCCCGAGTCCACGGGACTGGAATCCACCAGAATGAGAAATGACTCTCAAGAGAAATATTATTCAAGATGGAAAATTAACTGCCTTGGCCTTGTGCCTTACAAGAATACTTAAACTACTAGGATCTAAACCAAAAAAGAAAACAATCAAAAGTCCAAATCTGCCTAAAATTATGCTAGAACATGCTACTAAAATAGAAAAGGAAAAATCTAAGACCCTTCCATCTATTACCACTCAATCACATAGATATCCAATTAATCACACATTTCTTGCGATTGTAATTGCAGCCTTATGTCCTGCATCAGTCTCCTCCACTTTAGGAGAACTCGCCCTCGAGTTACTCTCAGGATATAATGGCTTGATTTGATAATGCTCGAACAAATCTGCAACGTTGAAGGGAGAAGAAATCTGCATATGCTCCGGAGGATCATTGATATAAGCGTTGTCATTAATTTTCACCTTGACTTGAAAAGGACCATACTTCCTGTTTGCTGTAAGTTGTTGTAGGGGCCTGCTTTTGCATAGATAAACCATCATTTGATCACACTCTTTGAACACTTTAGCTCGACGACATTTGTCTGCCGCTGTTTTATACTTTTTGTTGGCCTCCTCTAAACTCTGTTTCCCCCCCACTTTAGAAGCTTTAGGTAGTCCTTCTTGCAATGGAACTAGTTTAATTTTCTTCTTGTTCCAACTAAACTCATAGGTATTCTCCCTTCCCTTATGAACTACATTAACATCATATTGCCAAGGTCTCCCTAGCAGTACATGGCATGCGTCCATATCCACTACATCACAAGTTATAGCATCTCTATAACTTTTACCAATTGAAAGAGGAATACAACAAACTTCTGTTACCTTGATCTTTGTACCCCTCTGGATCCATCCGATCTTGTAAGGAGAAGGATGATGTTTGGTCCTCAATTGCAACTTGTCGACGAGAGCCTTTGACACAATATTCTCGTTGCTACCGCTATCAATGATTACATCGCACACCTTATCATTGATGGTACAGCTAGTTCTGAAGATGTTATGTCGCTACAGGTCAGACTCATGCTTTGGTGCATACAATAGTCTCTGCACAACACAAGCAACTCGATCTCCATGATCCCCCTCTACAACTTCGACCACTTCGTCATCACTCTGATCTCCGTAGTCATCACTTCCTTCATTCCCAAAATCTGCAGGATCATCCTCGGTTCCATTAACCAAGTTAGCCTGCCTTCGGGTTGGACACGTGCTGGAACAATGTCCAGGTTGATTGCGGCGATAACACTTATCAATGGTTGGTCGTTCAT